GTCTCCATAAACGATGATGTTTTCCATTTGGACGGACCTCGGCTCTCTTTCATGTTTTATTGTTTGTCTCAGTCTTAATTTTTCCATTTATTCAGCATCTTTTCTCAGTCTCTGGTGATTTTACAGTAACACGCATTATAAATCACCCTGGATCAGATCTCCTGCTAAGTGGCTGAAATGTGAACGTTCGCGTTCTCGCTCTAATGTTTGCCGGCTTTTCATTTTCACTCTGAAGACGACAGAAATATGAAACAGCTGAGTGAGGAAGAAAGCAAGTTAATAGAGGATTACGGGCAGAGTGGAAGAGTGGGATCAAACTGGTATAGAGAGAAAAAATATAACAAAATGACAGAGTTATAGAGCTGTCCCATGCTTCACAGGGGTATTAAGTGTTCCCCCCTCCTCCTTCTATAAACACCTTGCCAAGTCTCCCATCAGAGCCATAAAACAGTTTAAAGCTCTTTTTGTTTTACGTCTCTGCTGTTTCTGTGTCCTTTAAAGTCCTCTTCTGTCTGTTACCTCTCCACTGCTGTGCACTGATTGGCCCGTTGGGTCCCAGCCAGAAAAGTCTAGGGTGGATACGCACGCCGTCCTGGCCTAACTGTCCCTGCTAGTGTGCATGTATGAGCGCTCAGGAGATATCAGTTTCCTTTTATGCCGTCATTGTGTGCCATTTGATAGGAGCTGTGATTGGTCATTTGAGACGTATTTAGCAGCGGTGATCTTTCAAACACACACTTGGGCGCGTCACAGGAAAGGAGTGGCGCTCCCCTGATTGTTTAGTTGCCCTTTCATATTATTCTAATCTTGAGAAAATGAATGGGGGACGGCGGCGAGGCAGGAGAGACGAGGGGAAGCGGGAAGTCAATCAAAGAAATGAAGGAAAGGAGTGAAAGTGAGCAAGGCCCTAATCGCAACGCGGCAGCGTTTTACTGTACTCACTTCAGTGACTAAATATAAACTGACCTACTAGTTATTGCTGGATCAAACTCACCTCTGCACGCAAACAATAAAACATTAAGACATAGCCTGAGCTACAACCCCCACCCCCCATAGCTATGAATGATGATTAACCCAGCTCTGTGTGGAAAGTCAACCGACGTCCACCTTTTAAAGTTCTATTTCGCATACCGATATCCACATAAAAAAGTGAGAAGCCTAAGAGTTTTTGGTTAATTTTTAGTTAAGAAAGAAACATCAGCTTTTAGATTTACATGTTTTCTGTTGATTAAACGAGACAGGTTATGTTGCTCCCCGTGTTTGTGCCAGTCAGATTGGCTCCTGGGCGTTGCTTGTATTGTATTGCGTGGACAAAACAGACAACTACTCATCTCCTCTTACTGTAGGTAAGAATGGGAAGAGTTGTTCTTCCAAAAACAGGCCTGACTCTACCTGCGAGATCCGAGACACTGGATGGACCGAGTTCAGCTTGTGTGCTTCTTCTTTCTTGCCCACTTTTTGTTTGTAGTATATTGTTGTTCTTGTTGCCATATAATAAGTCTTTTATTGTTGAACTGGAGTGGCATGATGGTTTGGATTATGAGGGGAAAGAAATGTGCTGGGGAGGGGGGGGAAGCTGTCACAAGTCGGTGTACTCCAACTGTCCGGATAAATGGGGAGCGTTGCATCAGGAGGGTGGTCGCTTTGCACAGTTTTGTATTTAATCCTTTCGGCGACGCTACTTTATACACTCTTGACATGCCTCGCTGTCATCATGTCATACACCAAACACAGCCTCCCAGTTTTGTTGATCTATTTAAGCTGCAGAGCTTCCCATCTCACCCTCTGGCATGTCAGCTCCGCAGCTCTGGAGGGCCCAGATGCGAAAATCAGACTGTATTCCTGTGATGTAATGAATCATTTCAAACATCAGTTGTGTGGCTGTGAGCGGGACTCTAGCCAGCCCTAGGTTGGAGTGTGAGATTCAAGATGCCGGGTAAGCCTTCTTCTTGCTTCCCTGGCACACTGAACATTATCTAAAAGTTTATTATTTAAACAACAACTGGCGTAATAATGGTCCGTTTAATATTTAACATTGAGATCTGGATCATATCGCTTGATTCTTATTTGCAGGTGCCTGTAGATTTCTAAGCTGTCATATCTTTAAGTTTATGATGTGTTGTTGATGTTGGCCTGAAATTTGAACTTCACAGTTCATTGTTGAGCTTGTAAAAACAACACAAAAACAAACCCACACAGTGGAGGAAGCGGTGTCACATTAATGTACTGCATGTTTTAGTGCAGTCTTTACACTAGTTTACATAATGGCTCGCAACAAATGCGGATAATAGCCCACTATTACGCAGCAGTATGTTACATTAGTGCTTTTGTGGTTTATTAAAATAATTCACTTATCGAAAGAGCGACAGTTTAGTATCACTTCCTTGGCGTCAGCGCGGAAACATACATAAAACATGAATTGTTCTGAAGGGTGCGCCTCAGCTTTTCTTTGGTGGGAACGCTCTGTCAGCCACCTGCCTGTGTAATCCACAGCAGAGTGCAACAAGTTCACAGTAATCGCTGTAAAAGGAGCGGGTGTGCATTCTGGGAAATGTAGGAAATCGCTAACTGAAGCAGAAGTGCACACGGCAGGAAAATTTCTTGGGTCCAGCAAAAACAGTAAATTAAAGTAATTTATAGCACTTTATCACAACATGGCTCCTGGAAAACTCATAACCCGAGTCATTCAGAGCAGTAATGAGCCCGCAGCTGAGTCTGAAGTGATAAATAGAGGGAGCTGTGTTTGGTCTTTGCACAGAAAAGATGAATGGAGCGCTACAGCTGCCGTTACTAGCTTAAATATTACACACTGAAGCACACGGATGCACACACGCGCCAAATGGGCAGAAGGATGGAATATGTCAGGAATGTGCTTTCAGAGAAGATCGACCTTCACACAGACTCACACACCACGTCATGCACTTGGAAACACGACCTAGTGGCAAAACACAGATTTCATTTGGCACATTCTGCCGATCACATGCTGACACATTCGTACTCATCCTGCGTGAAGGTTTTCTCGCGTTCTGTGTATCCAATGTGCACTGACTTGCAAGGCTCTTCCACACACAGACACGCATGCGCTTGCACGCTCACACATACACACCCCGTCTTGCTCAACAGGTCAGGATGTTTCACAAGTTGCAACCTGCACATCAAGGATATGTCTGCGTGCATTATCACTGGTGTTGAGTGCGTGTGTGTCAGAGTGCAAAAATGTTAACTGTTAAGGACATGAGCGCACACACAGTCCGCAGACCAACTTGTAGACTCATTTCTGTGGTCTCCAAGGAGTCACCATGGCAAAGGCAGAATGAAACCATGGCCTGTGGGAGAGAAGACATGTGCGTGCGCACATAAATGTGTGTCCTACAGACCCAGAAGTGGTTTATTCCCCCAGGAAGCAAGTTATTCTCCACAGGCCAATCAGAGGACAAGGTTTGAGACAGAGTTTAATCCAATTGGTCCAACACTTCTGACCTTTAATACTCGCAACCAATCCCGGGGGAGGAGACAGTCTGCAGGGCGGTAAAATCACAACCCAAGTGTAATAATGACATAGGAATCAGGAAGGGATGAGTTTAAATACTGTGAAATGTTTTTGCTGTTATGTTGGACAGAGCATACAGTGTGAGCAGAACACGGAAAAGGAATGAAAATGGCATGTTTGACAACATAAACGAGTGCAGACCCGTGCAAAAAAACACAAATGCTTTATATTTTTCACTGATGAAATCATAAAGCAGAGTCATAAGGTTTTTAAAGCAAAGCCGCTCAGACCCAGAAGGGCAAGCGAGTATAAAAAGAAGTGACTTGGTGACATGGATGAAGTAAAAACGGCTTTGGGGAACGAGTGTTGGACTAAACAAATATTTACACAAGGCGATGCATGCATCCTCACGTGTGTTTATGGCTGGATTTACGACCACGCTCCCCTCCTCCTGTCCGACTCTTCCATTTTTGTCTCCCCTCGTCACCTCGAGGCTAAGGGTGTAATTGTTGCCAGTCGCTATTACAAAGTACCTCTTTTTCACTCGTTTCTGTCTCCGTTTTTCACTCGTTTGCATGTGCGTGCATGCGTTCATGTGTGTATATATTTGTGCCGCAGCATCAAACATGCAAATGTTCTCCAAAGATCTGTCCTCCCTGTGTGTGTGCAGAGTCCCTTGCCATTTTCTGTCTTCCGTCACCCGCACAATTCATATGTCACTGCTTGTGTCTTGTGTCTGGAGAAGCGGTGGAGTCTGATGAAAGATAAATAAAAGAGGTTTTAATGGAACGAGGTAGACGGCGCATGAGCTTTTTGCCTGAGGAATTAATTTCTTGCACAGGCTTTTATTCAAGTTTTTTCTCTTTCTCCCACACTGCTCCATGCAAGAGCAGCAGACTTTTGCTCTATCAGCATTTCTGTTCGCTGCGTCTTACATAAACTGCTAACAGCAGTAAATAATATGTTTAAAACCCGTATGTGACACGAGAGCGGTGGTGCGTAAGGAGGCTCGGCCACCGTTATTGGTTAAAGCACGTTTTCTAATCGAGATTTTGATAATCCAAAAAACCCCAAAACCTCCTAATAACTAATAAAAATAGATTCAGAACCACCAGAAACACATGTGATCATTTCACCCAAATTTCTCTTTGATGAATGGATGCACTTTATTTTAATCAGTCCAGCTCTCTGCACAGAGAGTGTAAGGGCTTTTATTTGTGCTGCATGGATCCTGTGTATTAGATCTGTTTTTCCTCTATTTATTTCTATGAGTCCATCAAGTATTTCCTGATTTATAATCATGTATCACATCAGAAGCCCTCAGAGTCAGGGAAACAATATGATATGTGTGCATGACACTGTGTAGAAACAGATGAACTTACATCTCACAATTTCCTCTTTCCCCACCCGTTTAATAGGCTGACTGATAAAGATTAGTTGTCCTGCTCTCACGTGCTTTCACTGAGTGTTTGTGATAACACAAATCTTTTGATATTCCTCTCTCCTGTAGGATGTCGAGATTTTGGACATCAGTTACATCAGGGACACCAGAACGGGAAAGTATGCCAAACAGCCAAAGGTTGGTAATATTTGTTTATGCCTGTGTGGGAGAAAAGAGGGGGGAGAAGCTGTTACTTTGTCCCCTGACCACAAACGTGATGCTCAAATGTGACTGTCGCCAAACGATTCATGTGCGTTTCCTCTCTCAGCTGATGGTGCAAAGGTGACGGAGTGCTAATGAGGCTGATGACAGATGGACTATCAGACAGGAAGTGATATAACCAGCGACTGTTAGTGAGGAAGTCATTGTGTAAGAGCCTAGATGTGACCAAGGCAGAGTGTGAAATATGGGCGCGTATTAGTGGTAAACAATTCAAACACAGATGTGTGGCGAGTTCATTCTGCACGTTAAAGTGTTTATTACAAATGGTTCTTGAAATGGTACGATAAAGTCTTATTTTTTTATGTCATACCGTGGTTATAGTATGAAAAGTGCATTAGAAATATTGACTAAACCTGCTATAATCAGTGGATGATATCTCTGTTATTAAAGAGCCTTCTCATAATTCATGGTTGCACTTCCTCTCTCATGTTAGCATCCGTGAATCTAGGAAACGGTCAGCGACTGTACGACACCTTTGAGATTTACAATCTGGGGTGAGACTTCCTGATTTGGTCTCCATGTGAAGTATTTACCTGCTTCCAACCAAATCCTGCTCGAATTTGTGCCCCTTACCTACAGATTCTGTATTTTCATATGTTGATATGTGAACATTGGTAGTATGGATGCCGTCTTTGAGCATTTTGCGTGTTTCTTTAGCACTATATTCCCTATAAACAGTCTATAAAGAGTGCTCCTGGCTAATGTATTTAACTGAAATGAAAGAGAGACATGATGTCACAAGAGTGATCTATAATTGACAGAAAGCCATTGAGTGTTAGAGAGAGTTGGTGGAGGGAACACAGGGGTGGGCTAAAAAGGAGGAAAGAGTCGTTTGGTTAATTAGATCAGGGCGCTACACCGCATGCATCACATTTAATATCCTCAGGAGATGGAGACACGGACGAGTTTTATCTGTCTGCTCAGTGTTCAGATCGTTGTTGAATTTGCTAGATTGTGTCTGTGTAATGAAACGTCCTGAAAAAGCATAAATATCTTTGTGTGCCAGGACGCAAAGGTGAAAGAAGTGCTGGGCCTTACTAAGGAGGTGAGCGGAGAAGGGAAGCTGTTTACCGTCGTCTATGGCAATGACCTGGTCAACGTTTCTTTCCTCAACTTCCAGGCCATGCAAGCGGATGTAGCGAAGGTAACCACGATTCTTAACTAGCTTAACTGTCCAAATAATTTATAGTTTAATGTATTTCCTCCTTTTCTTTTCCTCTTCTCCATCCTCATGTCCCCCACTGCACTCCTACCTGTGCAGCTGACTTTATTCCCTCAAGCCTTGAGCTGATTGCTTACTTTACTTTGACATAAAGGCGTGCGTATGTTAAGTAGCTAAAAACAGAGATTAATTCCCGTGTGTGTCTGCTACACTGTATATAGTAACTGTTTCACCAAGGTTTAACATGAGGTGAACAGTCAAACAACCGTCTTTTATCCTTTCATGTCTGTGTGTTTCCAGATTTGGACAGATGAGCTGTTCGCTTTGTCCACAAACATACTTTCCCAGAATGTATCGCGGAACACCTTTCTTTACAAAGCGTAAGAGTTTGTGTGCGTGCCGTCCTACAATGCTGCGAATTTTCGATGATTAAAAAATACTCATACTTGACTGTTCTTTGTCTTTGTCAGGTACACGAAGTTAAAGCTTCAAGTGAACCAGGAAGGGAAGATTCCAGTGAAGAAGTGAGTACCACCCTCGCCAACCACTTTTAAACTGCTCCTCACTTCTTCTTTCTTTTCCTCTTCTTTGTCTCTCTTCCACTTTTTCTCTCGGCTCTTTTATAGTGACTCTGATTTTTTTATGTTTACAATCACTTCTTAGGTTTCTGACTCTTTTTGCTTGCAGGCGTCACTGTAAACATTTGATCTGAATGTGATTTTGTACTTTGTGTTTTAGTGTCATCAAGATGTTTTCTGATAAAAAGAGAGTGGAGACAGCTCTGGAGCAGTGTGGCCTCATTAATAACAAGGTAATCACTCAATAAAATCACTGATCACATGGATAGTCGACATATGGGTTTGGTGAACTGGTGTATGCATCGAGAATGGCTGAAATGAACTGAACTGCGGAGGCGTTGCATATAGTTGTGTTCTTGGTGTGTCTTTGCAGTGCAAGGAAGGCAACAAAAGTTGGCAGGCCCGTGGAAGAGTAGCAATAAAAGAAAATAGTAAGATTTCAGTGGGTTGCAGGACAAGACATAACACGTGAAATGCTTGTTTGTGGATTTTGTTACAGAGAGAGGCTAGCTGCTGCCTGTACTCTTACACAACAGTTAACATGCTGCTCTTAGAGGCATGTTTGTATTCAAATAATATTGGCCTCACAGTTTTTAAACACAGCTTCTAACATTTCTAGCTTTTATCTGTAGCCACATGTTACCCTGAGTTAAAAACCACCTAGCAAGCTAACATACAAATGTAAATCCTTTGTTGTACATAAAATAACTGCATACTAAAATACAAATTGATGAAACAGGTTAATAATGCGGTGAAAGCACTGAAAATACAGGTGAACTAATAAATGAACAGGTAAACTGGCTGCTTCAGCTACTACATATAGCTAGCTAAACATAGTATAGCTAGCTAACTGACTAGCTTTGATTACTGCAACTTGCTCGTAGTGTTTTGCTAAACTTTTTAATTATTACTCAAAGTGCAACTCTTTCTCTTACAGTACTTTCTTTCACACCCAATAAAAACCTCTTGAAGTTCATTTTAGCAACAATGGAAATAAACCAATTTACACAGCAAACTAAAGATTGCCATGAATCTTGTTTTCTCGACAGTGTGCCTGCGGTTAAAATGTTAATCATGGTAACATGCTTTCTACTAAGACTCTTTCTAAAACAACTTTCTGCTAATCTTTGCTTGTATCTGCTGTGTACAGTACCTCAGCCCTGTGGGTTTGAGGTAAAATTAGTTTTTTATTTATTTATTTTTTAAATTTTTTTTTGGTGAGTCAGTGCAATCTTTCCTAAAATCAGTTTGAAGTCACAAGACTTTTTTTTTCTTGAAGAGATACCAGATTGTGCAAAATGTGCTGTCAGCATTTCTCTGTAGATTGCTGTACTCTGGAGCCTCCTGCTGGGTACTCAGAGCAATGCAGCTTATAAAAGCCTGTTAATATTCTCTCTAGACAACAGCACATAGCAGTGTAATGTAATGCTGTCTGTTGTTTATTAACTTATCAATGTGTGTGCTTGAGGCAGAGCCTGTTTATAAAATCAAATCTGTCTTTTTGCTTCAGTCAGAGGGAATAAAGCCAGATGATATCACCTGGGATGCCTTCCAGAAGCTTCTGGACAACTTATGTCTTCGACCTGAGATCCAGAGCATCTTTGAGGAAAGGTGCGCTTTAAGGATGCTCTAGCTATAGTCTTAGGATTTCTAGTAAAACTCTTGCGTACGTGTTATACACTCGGACTCTTATTTTCTCTCTGCTCCAGTGGCTCCAAGAGGAAGCCGTTCATCTCTTTGGACCAGCTAATGGACTTCATCAACCGCAGGCAGCGAGACTCCAGACTAAACGAGGTGCTCTACCCCCCACTGAAAAGAGACCAAGTCCGACAGATCATGGAGAAATACGAGACCAACACCAGTCAGCTGGAGAGAGGTCTGTAACTCTCTGTGTGGCATCAGGCTTTTATTCAGAGCTGAATCAGTGGATATGATTGGTTGTTTTTAAAACTGACCTATTACAATTTCATGTCTTTCTCCTCAAACACGCATGTTATTTAAAGTGCTGTATGCAGTATAGTTCTTGATGACCCTGATGAAGCAATAGCAGGCCAAAAAACGTTGGTCAAGTACTAAGGCTGTTCTTTATCTGTGTTATTATATTAATAAACCTGTGAACAAATTAGCGGCACAGCCATAACTATGTTAGTCCGCGATCTGCGAGATGATTGGCTGTCCTGCTGCAGCGATCACATCTGGCTGCCCTCTGCGCCTGTTGATGAACAGCAGTCTTTGATCTGTTGGGATGTTTCCGGCTGTTTTGAAACGCTGTCATCGCGTTCTTTCTTGCAGACCAAATCAGTTTGCAGGCATTCAGTCGGTATCTGGGGGGAGAGGAAAACACCATCGTACCTCCAGAGAGGCTGGACATCATCGACGACATGAACCAACCGCTCTCTCACTACTTTATCAACTCGTCACACAACACGTACCTCACAGGTGTGACATGTAAACGGCATGCATGCAAGCGTGATTGTTCATTTGCTGGGCGCTTTTTGGTTCTGAACCCATAGCTCTTCTCGTATCTTAGTGGGCCAGCTGACCGGGAATTCTTCGGTGGAGATGTATAGGCAGGTGCTGCTCACCGGTTGTCGCTGTATTGAGCTGGACTGCTGGAAGGGCCGACCACAAGATGAAGAACCCTATATCACCCACGGGTTCACCATGACCACTGAGATCCCCTTTAAGGTGGGAGCTGCTGCAGAAATGTCACAGGCACAATTCTGCTCTCTTTGACGTTTTTGTTTTCCTCTTGATCAGCTTGATCAGTTGCAGTTTTGTGTCATTTTTTACTCTTGTAAAAAATTTACTGTGGAGTAATTTTCAACAAACAAAACCTGTGCTGAGGGATTGTGTCCAGTTTTGAGTTTTTAATCATTCTTGTCTTGACTGCAGGAAGTGATTGAAGCCATAGCAGAGAGTGCTTTCAAGACCTCGCCATACCCCGTCATCCTGTCCTTTGAAAACCACGTAGATTCGTAAGTTGCACGTCTGTGTGTTTTGTCAGGAGTATTCAGATGATTTGGTCTTCTGCAAGCTCTTTGCATTAGGGATAAGCACAGCACGCTTGAGTTCAGGTTATTTAATACCAGACCAGATGCAAATCCAATCCTTTGAAGGAAATGCTCGCTCTGTAACATGTGCAGTGTTCAGAGTGCAAAACATTCCTAAACCAATGAAGGGTTTATTGGGTTAATGATTTTTAGGACACTCAACCAACCAACCAACCAACCAACCATTTCCTCTGTCCTTTCAGAGCAAAGCAGCAGGCTAAGATGGCAGAGTACTGCAGGACAATCTTTGGCGATGCGCTGCTCATCGAGCCATTGGAGAAATATCCAGTAAGTCATCTCTGATGTGGATGCTGAGCTTTTCCCTCAATTTGCTGCTGCCACACTTGTAAAAGTACCGAATTTCCCAGAGGAACCCACCCGAGGGTTTAATAAAGTTTTATCTTATCTTAAAAGTGTAAAAGTCCAAATGACTCCAGATGTCTGAACAGATCAGGTCACTGCTGGGCTGAAAAACTTGAAGCTTTTTTCCCCCCGTTCACCCAGATAGAACCCAAGGTTTCTAAACCCAGCACTCAGTGAACAGTGTATTAGCAAAGACAGATAACAGGCTTCTAGCTGTTTCATGTGTACTCAGCGTTTTTAATGGGGTTTATAATGAAAGGCAACATCCCACGAGCCTGAACATAGCTCTAGTGTATGACTTGAAGACCTCCATTTATACCAGGTAGCCAATGATCAGCCTAGATTTGAATCTTTAGCCATGTACTTGTTTTATAATCTGCTCAGCGAGGGGGTTCAGATACAAGCAAATCAGCAAAAAGGATAGAGCATCATCTTGGTATATACTGCACTTGATGGTGCTATAGGCTAGAAGTTGGCTTTTGATGTTTTTCCACGGCTACATTGAGTTTTTAAATGATAATTAGCAGCACCCTCATGTAGTTCCACATTCAGTGGTGTGAATGCGTGGGGGTTTTAGGTCATGTGTTTGGTTTTCTTCAGTCTAGTTTTAGATGATCACTCTTTCTCTCTCTTTCTGAGTCTCTCTGTTTCCCTAAAAATATACAATTTGTCCCTTTTTATTTATATAACAACTTTGAAGTTTTGTTTTTTTTTTAGTTTTAATGATTACATTTGCTGTTCCTCAAGGCAAATTATTAAGACACTAATATCTTTTTACTCGTCTGTCACGGTGTTACTCAACTTACAAACCATCAAATACGATTGCACTCCTTATGCCGATCAGCTTGTGACCTGACCCGTCATGCTTGGCTTTTGGTTTCACAACGCACAAACAAACGAACAAGAAGTATCAGCCGGTTCAGTCCCAACCGACGGCCTATAAAAAAATGTAATTACCAAGGTAGAAACATCTCATCATGGGTAAAGCCAATGAGCTCTCTCACAACCTTATTGTTGCAAAACATACTAATGGCACTGGTTACAGAACAATTTCTAAACTATTGAAGGTTCAAGCAAACACTGTTGAGGCCATAATCCAGAAGTGGAAATGACATCATTTCACCATAAACCAGCAACGACCAGGTGGTCCCCACAAGATCTACAGAAAGACCTGCAGTCAGCAGGCACCATTGTTTCAAAGAAAACCATAAATCATGCAGTCAACCGCCATGCCCTGTATGCACGCTCATCATACAAGGCTGAAGAAGCATGTTTAAAGTTTGCTGAACAACATTTAGACAAGCCTGTGAAATACTGGGAGTCTATAGTCTTGTCAGATGAGACCAAAATTGAACCGTTTGGATGCAATAAGTCACACCATGTCTGGAGGTCAAAGGGACTGCATTTCACCCCGAAAACACCACACTAAGAGTGAAGTTTGGAGATGTGAACATCACGGTGTGGTGTGGCTGTTCTAGAAAGCAGCACTGGCAAGCTTCAGATAAAAGGAAGCTAACAAGGAAGGATGGGTGAATGGAAAATGTACCAAGACATTCTTGATTAAGAATCTGCTGCCATCTGCTAGGATGATGATGATGATGATGAAATGAGGATTGATGTTGCAGCAAGACAATGATCCCAAACACACAGCCAAAGAAACTTAATTTGTTTTAGAGAAAGAAAATAAAGCTGCTAGAACGGCCCGGCCAATCACCTGACCCGGATCCAATTTAAAAAATCAGGATTTGAAGAGTGTTTGTGTGGATGAATGGGCCAAAATCACACCTTAGCAAAGCATGCGACTAGTTTCTCCATACAGGAGGCTTTTGCTCAGTATTAAATACATTTCAGTAAGCGCGTTCAACACTTGCATCACTTGCTGACATCTGGTGAGAATTTCACGTCAATAGGACCTTTAGAGATATATTTACTTAGTTTCAACACTTATTTTAGCCTATGCATTTCTAGTTTCAAGAGTCATAGAGGCCAGTTTAACATTACCAAACTGTTGAAAACTGTGACCTTGTTTGCTTTGCTTCTTTTAGCGCAGACTCATTATTCATCTCAGATAAAGGCACATGTGCTTCTTTTTATTGCTCAGCTCATTCAGTTAAGTAAAGATAAGAAAAGATGCTTTATTTATCCCCAAAGCTAGAAAATTACTGTTACATCACCTATAACGTTAACCGTAGAACAGCTCAAAGTAAAGTAGAATAGCTTGCAAGAAAAGCAAAAAGCAAAACGATATAATATGATAAAGAAAAAGGGCAAAACTTGCAGAAAAGAAGGAGCACAAAAATCGTATTTTCTAGTCAAATATGTGTAGCTCTAAAATACCTCTTCTCATTATATTTAAATATCAAGAAGCTCGTCAATGCGACTACATTATTCTCCTCCCTCTGACAGCATGGTGTTATCCTTGTGATTTTAGCTGAGCGAAGGTCAGCTGCTGCCTTCGCCGCAGGAATTGATGGGGAAGATTCTTATCAAAAACAAGAAGAAACATCACCATCACCGACCCTCTGAGAGTGGCAGCATAAGGCGCAAAGAGCCAGGGGAGCAGTCTTCGCCTCACAACGGTAAAGTGCAGGCAACCACCCGTTCTCCCCTGCTGGGATAATAACATCAACTTAGCCTTTGTAATGTGGTAAATGATTGTAACTGAAAACGAAGTTGATGTAGACGATCAAAAGAATTCCTGTTAAGCTGATAGTTTGCTGTTGCGTGTGTAGACTGCCCTCTGACAGAAGAGGGAAGCCAACTCCTGTCCAATGGAGAGGAAAAGCTGGCTGAAAGGATGGTGAAAGACTCCGAGCCTCGGAAGTCCATTGGTGGGTTGAAGAAACAAAGGATCCCAGCACATTGTAGAAGTTGTCTTATGTAAAGTTACTTTTTCTAATCACACCCTACCAGGAGCTGAAGGAGAGAGCGAGGAGGAGGAGGAGGACGAGTCGGTGGCAGAGCTGAAAAAGCCAAACTCCGACGAGGTAGGTGCCAGCAAGAGGACTGATGGATTGTTTGACTGGCTGGTATTAGGCTGCTTTATGGATTAGTGGTATCTGCCTCCCGCAGGGTACCGCCAGCAGCGAGGCGAACGCCACGGAGGAGATGTCAAATCTCGTCAACTACATTGAACCCGTCAAATTTAAGACCTTTGAATGGGCAGCTAGTAAGTGTGTGTGTGCGTGCTTAACGGAAAAGGAAGGATGCATTCCCTTTATCAGGCAAAAACTGCGAGTGAGAGGAGCAGCCGTGTTTATGGTGTAGCTCATTAGCCAAACAGACTCACTCGCAGGTAGCATCATCTTGTCACAGGTTATTCTGACTTGTTTTTTCCCCCCCTTTGCTTCTCATTTCTTTCAACAGAGAGGAAGAGGTTCTTTGAGATGTCATCGTTTGTTGAAACCAAAGGCATGGATGCCCTGAAGAGCTTCCCTATAGAGTTTGTTGAGTATCCTTGCAAGCTTAAGTTTAAAAGTGGTAAAAAGGAGTATTTGGGTAAGGTTTAAAAAGTACAATTTATGGCTTCATGAGAATTTACTTGCTGAATTATTATTTACTGGGTGTACTGACTTTCTCAAATCTTAGGAATAAAGATTAAACGCACAAAAACTGCTGGTAGGCATACTTTCCTGTCTGTGTAGTTAGGCTGGCTAGCTTTTCTCCCTCATTTCTAATCTTCGTGCTTCAAGTTAACCGCCCATCAGACTGTAGCCTCAGTTTTAGCGGACATTGAAAGTAGTATCAGTTTTCTCATCTGACTGTAGAAAATCAACCAAACAACTGTGTTTCTCTAAATATCAGCTGCGCTGTCAGTCCTTCTCAACAGTTTTTGACATTATTGATGGAGGAAAATGTCTCATCTGGTTTTGATCTCGACCTTAGACCAAACACCAGTGACTCTTTTTTTCTGGTGCAGTTTACAGTGTGTAATAAATAAATAGTCTCTGCACATGTGCAACACTCTACCTCTGTATACAGTGTTAATCCTTAGCAGGACTCCTCCAGGTACAATAAGAACCAGCTGAGCCGAATCTATCCTAAAGGAACGAGAGTAGACAGCTCCAACTACATGCCTCAGCTTTTCTGGAATGTTGGATGCCAGATGGTGGCGCTAAACTTCCAGACACTTGGTAAGTTGTGCTACTTTTAGTCTTGGATATAAAGAAACTGAATGTGTTTAAAAGTTAAGCCTAAACTGTAAGACAGCAAACCCTTTGCATTCACATCATGGAACAAATTGGGACTAACTTGGAACACCAAAAAGACTCAAGTTTTCAAACCCTAACCCAAAAAATATTGATGATGTCCTATAACTTCAAACTATCCTCATTCTACATGGAGCTACTTTTATACAGGGTGGACCATTTACATGGATACACCGTAATAACATGGGAATGGTTGGTGATATTAAAGTCCTGTTTGTGGCACATTAGTATATGTGAGGGGGCAAACTCCTCAAGATGGGTGGTGACCATGGTGGCCACTTAGAAGTCGGCCATCTTGGATACAACTTTTGTTTTTTCAATAGGAAGAGGGCCATGTGACACATCAAACTTATTGGTAATGTCACAAGAAAAACAATGGTGTGCTTGGTTTCAACGTAACTTTATTCTTTCATGAGTTATTTACAAGTTTCTGACCACTTATAAAATGTGTTCAATGTGCTGCCCATTGTGTTGGATTGTCAATGCAACCCTCTTCTCCCACTCTTCACACACTGATAGCAACACTGCAGGAGAAATGCCAGCACAGGCATCCAGTATCCGTAGTTTCAGGTGCTGCACATCTCGTATCTTCACACCATAGACAATTCATTTCAGATGACCCCAAAGATAAAAGTCTACGGGGGTCAGATCGGGAGACCTTGGGGGCCATTCAACTGGCCCACGACGACCAATCCACTTTCTCAAAAAAGTTACGTTGAAACCAAGCACACCATTGTTTTTCTTGTGACATTACCAATAAGTTTGATGTGTCACATGGCCCTCTTCCTATTGAAAAAAGCAAAAGTTGTATCCAAGATGGCCGACTTCTAAATGGCCACCATGGTCACCACCCATCTTGAGGAGTTTGCCCCCTCACATATACTAATGTGCCACAAACAGGACTTTAATATCACCAACCATTCCCATTTTATTACGGTGTTTCCATGTAAATGGTCCACCCTTTTACATGCTTTACATGCAATGGGACTCAGAGTGGACAACAAATCTTCATGCCACACAAACATTGTCCCCCAGCACAGGCTGAAGCCACTCCATCGTAGTGTTTGCTTGGATTGAACTGGCACCTGAGTATGGGCAACCCATTTTTTACTGGCCTTAATGGTGACAAATTCAACCGGCCTAAAATTAAGCTTTGAGTGAAAAGATGCTAAATAAACTCTGCAAACACCTGGTGGCACCATCTAAACGCTCTAACAATTATTAATAGCTATGAATAATATGCATTTATCATTACTGTGGTTTATGTATTTGTAAAGTTGTTTTAATTTGGTTGTCTTTCAAAGTCTTTAGTCGATTAAAGGTTGGAATTTTGATGCTGGTTGATACCAATATCTGCTCTGTTTTGTTCTTCCTTACTCTTAGACCTTCCTATGCAGCTGAACATGGGTGTGTTTGAGTATAATGGCCTGAGCGGTTACCTGTTGAAGCCAGAGTTCATGAGAAGGACAGACAAACACTTTGACCCTTTCACAGAAAACATAGTAGACGGCATAGTCGCTAACACGGTCAAAATTAAAGTAAGACATATCTGAGTTCAGTATTTGCAATTTCGTTGCTCCCGTGAGTGAAAAAATGACAAATTTGTAACCCAACATCTACCAGGTGATCTCAGGCCAGTTCCTGACAGATAAGAAGGTTGGTGTGTATGTGGAAGTGGACATTTTTGGACTTCCAGCTGACACAAAAAGGAAGTACAGAACCAAAACATCTAATGGGAACTCGCTGGACCCTGTGTGGGATGATGAAATGTTTGTCTTTAACAAGGTAACAGACGAACAGAGCAGGGTTCGCATATCTTTTGAACCTTTATCTCTTGCTCTCTAAACTTCTCTCGTGGTGTCAACACTCTCCAGGTGGTCCTCCCTACACTGGCCTCTCTGAGAATAGCTGTGTTTGAGGAAAACGGCAAGTTCATTGGACACCGGATTCTTCCTGTTTCGGCTATTAGGCCGGGTAAGGAAATAAACACTCTTGGCATCAAACAGTCACTATCAGAGGCCATCACTGATACTTTATTTGCACTCAGTGGGAACATCGTACATGGTCTTTTACCATCTGTACGAACGTCAGTTATTTATTTCTTCCTCCTTCTAGGCTACCATTACATCAACCTGAAGAATGAGCTAAACCAGCCGCTTATGCTGCCGTCACTTCTGGTTTATACTGAAGCTCAGGACTACATCCCTAATGAACACCAGGGTAATGACACCATGCAAGCATCACTCTGGATTAATATGTCACACAAACAGGCTAAAAATAAACTACATCCACAAACCTTTGAGGCATTTCTCTTTTCTTCTTGCATTCAGCAACGTTTGCCAAATATATCCTCGACCTAGCTTATAGATAACACTTTTAAAGAAGCAACTTTTAAACAATAATTAGTAGCAGATTTAGCTGTGTGGTCACCTGACCACCCTGAAGATGACACTAGCCAGCACATGTTTGTGTATAGTTTTGTCTCTAGCCCACTTGCATATGAAGGTGTTTTATTATTTGGTCAAGCCATGCTTCAGTGTTTGGATCTGGATTTTTTAATTATTATTTTTTAATTACTTTCATTTTCTTTATATGTATTGTATCTGTTGAGCAATAACTTTTTGTGGAAATACTTACTTATCTAAGTCTCATACCTTTTTAGCTAAAAAAACAGAAGTAGAAATTGAAATTGTTACCTTTAGCTAACTTTTAGCTAACATGTTTGTCTTCTCTGTTTGTTGGCTAGTTGTTATGATATGATATACATGGCAACATGTGGCTTTAAAGGAACAATTTTAATAGTTTAAGGTTAGTTTTGAAATTCACTTATTTACTGTTTTCCTGAAATTAAACTGTTTACTCTACAGACATGAGCGGTATCAAAGTTAGCAACCAGCTAGCCTAGCTTAGCATGGCAAAATGGAGGGCAAAGGCTAGCATGACTCCCACAAACGGATTTAAAAAATTAATCTACCCTAAAAATGAAAACTATTCTCATATTATTATTTTGTCAGCCATGTTTACAGCACTAGAAGTTACACTAACCTGTATATTGTTTCATGGATATCTGTGTGTGTCTTCAGAGTATGCAGAAGCTCTCACCAACCCTATTAAGCATATCAGTGAGAAGCACAAGAGAGAGACACAGCTAGCTAGTCTCTTAGAAGACAACAGTGAGGTGAGACAGGTATGTTGATCACATTAGTTCCCCCACACTCTACTTTTGCTTTCGCCTGTACACTTTTATTGTAGGTTTTAATTCATTACATGCCATTTTCACCCAGCCTCTCACCAACCAGCCCAAAGAAGGAGAGAACAAGAGAGAACTCAGTCCAGGATTTGGAATCCCCTCCCCTTCCCCAACACCCCATCCCCCCCCAAAGGAAGATCCCCCTGATGTCATCAAGTTACCTGCACCAGGTAGTCACAAACCTTGTCTAAATGATTAAGTGTATAGATTCTACAGACCTGCACATGTGTTTGCTTGTTATAGTTGCATCTATAGCGTAATAGAAATTGTGATATCTTGAAACTGTATTGCTGTGTATTAGCACTGTGCAGTCTTGGTCCAAGACTCTATTATATGTTGAAATTACCTAACGAAATATGTTCACATATGTGTCTTTGATAAAGCTGTGAAATGACCTACTTTCACTGTGTGTGTAATTCATCCACGTCCGCTATGTCAGTTTTTCACAAGTTAAAGCGTCAGGCTTTTCAAAATAAGACTTTTACAGTCCTTTTTTTTTCTAGCAGGGGCATCAAGTTCTGTTTATTTGCATCTGAGTCATTCGTCCATCATCCATTTCATGCGCCCTGTGTGTGTGTCTCCTCTTGTGTTTATTTCTCTTTGTGCGTAGTACAATCTCAGAAGGAGGACCTCATAGGTACTGTCCTAACAGGTAAGGTCATCCCAGCTTATTCATTTAACTCATTTCACAGAAATCTCACACACAGCTAAGTGTGCAAAAATTATTTTGTGGTCAGGCTGGCCAAGATGGAAATGACAAGTTTACAGCAATATTTACGCTGGTTTGTGTGTTTGTCAGATGTCAAGGTTCAGTCTGTAGAGGAGCTGCAGCAGAATAAACATTATGAAAAGCTCCTTAAAAAACAAAGAAAAGAACTCAAAGAGCTGCGCAAGAAACATCTGAAGAAGGTACGCACAGACGGATTTAATTATCGAAACTAGTAATTGAAGTATCAGTTTGTTGCTTGTTGCCTTTGTGCTGCAAAAATAAATTGGTTTTTGTGGTTTGTGTAGGTGTCTAATCTAAGTAAGGACCAGAAAACCCAGCTTCAGTCTGACACCCAAAGGAAACGCAGCCAGATTGAGAAACAACTCAAACGCAGTTTCAAGAAAAGGTAAGGATGGACATGGGGGGTAACTGGGCAATTTTTCCCCTGATGTTGGGGGGAAAAATCCTAAAATATGAAAAAAGGAACCAGTGATGGAAAATAGTTTTTTCAAAAGAATGCTAATGAAATGTGTTAAGGAGATACTGAAATTGCTTACCTGAAATTGTACCTCAGTGAGTCCCAGGAACTGGTGCAGAGCGAGTTGGCTGCCTTGGATGATCTGGAGAAGCAGAAGAATCAGCTGAAAGAGATTCACATGCAGCAACTCCTAAAACTACGTGAAGAGCTTTTTGCAATCGAAAGAGAGAAGCAAAAAACACACCTGCAAGAGGTAATCTCTCTCTCATAAACGCTCACACACAGCTCTTGCATGTACAGTGCTGTGAACTACTAGTACTTCCATAAGATTTAAAAGGGTAATTGTAATTGGTAAGCACATGCCAGGCTGCTAATCAAGCGCACTTGATTATTTATCATCAGGTACTGTGAAAACCTCCAGAAAAGCGAATGTTTTGTCAGTTTTCTGTGCTGGAGCATTCTCGTGTGTGTTAACACAATGCCACGATCTTCAAACCGTGGAATGCTCAGAGAAACTGCCAAAACTTCATCTCAGGCTCTGCAGACCTCAGTTAGCGTGTTAAATGTTAAAGTTTATGACTCACACCCAGCATGGTGGTGGAGGTGTGATGATTTGGGTTTGCTTTGCAGCAATAGGACCTGGGTACCTTGCAGTCACTGAGCTAACCATGAACTCCTTTGTACACCAAAGTATTCTAGAGACAAACGTGAGGACATCTGTCCAAAAGCTAAAGCTTGGCTGAAACTGGGTCACGAAACAGGTCATTGAGCTCAAGCACAGCAGACAACCTACAACAGAGTGCCTGAGTAGTTGTGTCACAATGCGCCAATCAAAGTCCAGACCTCAACCTGGTTGAAATGCTGTGGTGTTACCTTAATAGAGCTGTGCATAAACAAATGTCAGTGATTTGAAGCAATGTTGTAAAAAGTGCAGTGATTTGCTAACAGGTCGTCTTTTCTGGGCTGTGTTTCTAGGCCCACCAGAAGTTGAAGGAGATTACCAGCGAATGCCAAGCAGCTCAGGTGAAAAAGGTCAAGGAACTATGCGAGAAGTACGTCGGTCCATTTCTACCACTGGGGGGGATGTTGCACGTGTCAATCATGCAGGCATAGTGTGAATGTTCACTGCTAGACGGACGAAGATGTATGTCTTTTTAAATGTTTTAAAATCCCACCAACGTTCCTGAAATCAGTACATTAAAGGACTATTAAATGGATATTAAATGCTGGATGCCACAGCAGCTAAATATGACTTATGGGTCATATGTGTCTATCGAACTGAAAACACCACATCTGAGCACCAATATTGTAAAAACCTCTGCACCAATTTTTTATAATACACTTGTTTGAGTCAACAAAGTGTAAAATGCAGCAGCCAGACGTCTTACTGAAACCAAAAAAAGACGCTCCTTTTTTAGATTTATTTCTAGTTTTTGTTTTGTTTTTATTATGTTATTATAATTTAACATGAATGATCAAATGGAAAAAGCTGAGTCAGAATTAATTTGTATTAGATGTTTGGGGGATGACAATCTCCTTTTAGCTACTATGGTATATTTCATTTTTGCTTTATCTGCAAGATTGATTTGATAGTCCTTGTTTGGACCTACTATCTGTGTGTCACTGTGTCTGCAGGGAGAAGAAAGAACTCCAGAAGATCCTGGACAGGAAACGACTAAACAGCATCAGTGAAGCCAAGAACCGTGAAAAAGACAAGGCTGAATCGTAATAATTTTTTTTAAGCATTAGTAAAGAAAAAGTCAGCCTTATCTTAAAGAATTGAATTCCTCACTCTTCTTTTCATCCTTATATTTTTCTCTTTAGGGAACTGAATGAGATCAACAGGAAACACATTCAAGATTCTGTCTCTTTAATCCGTGGGGTGAGTACTCGCCCTAGCACACACACACTTCATCTTTTATCACCAGCAGTCCATTTTTCTTGTTTGTAGCTCATATTTCTATTATTGATATCAACTTCAAAGCACTTCCTCTGTCTTTGTTTTTTTTTTTTTTTTTTATTCCTTTCTGTATCCCAGCTGGAGGAAGCGCAGACCAGGAGAGACGACAAGCTGCTGCAGAGGCATCGGGACGTCCTACAACGGATAGACGAGGAGCTTCCACAGGTGAGCAAAAGAAGCGGGACTAAAAAAGTTTGATCTGCAAAAAATCTCCAACTTGTCCAAAGTTAGAAATACATGTAGCAACAATGCTGGCATCTCTATAAATAGAAATAAAAAAATGACAAAGATAAGCCCAGGGGTTTATTTTTAAACTCTCACTTTAGGATCACAAAAATGAAACCAGTGCGGAAGTTCTTTAAACCTGCATTGTTTCTAGTGACCAGTAGGGGGCGACTCCACTGGTTGCAAATAGGAGATCAGCTGTTTAGAAGTCAATGTGAATAATGAGGCTGCTTCCACCTTCAGCGAATACTTTTTTTAAATGTCTGATTTCAAATAGATACGATGTTTACAGCTATCTTTTATATACAGTCAGTTTCTTTATTCCAGTCATTTCCTGTTGTAGCTGAAATGAAAATGTGTTAACATTTTGCCTCCGTGTCGTCTGCAGCTTAAGTCTCAGTTGGATCGGAAACTGGAAGAGGAGTATCACCGCCTTCCCGAGGAGATCTGCCAGCACCTACAGCTCGAGCTGCAAAACAAAAATCTCCAAAAGAACGCGCTGTTCTCCGCCTTGTCCAATCATAGCAGTCCCAGTACAGGCTCGGGCCTGCCCTCCAACTGCTCCACGCCCTCTAACTCGTCAACGCCCAGTCGGAGCACTTTGCACAGGAGCCGGGACAATAGCACCGTCTCTCTGGCCGATTCCACTTCCTCGTCCACCACGCCCGTCTTGTCAGACGCAGAAATGTCGTTCAATTAAAACTTTTACTCGTTCAAAGGAATATACAACAGGGGTCTATAGTGATTGTAATGTGGGATAGTAATGATGTAGAATATTTACTAATTTTATTCTTTCTTTTTAATCCTGACCTTTTTTGGTCTTGTCTACAGAGCTATATTATTTTTTATTTTGGCCGTTTTTGTCAGAAAACTCATTGTGGATTATGTTGGAATAATTCATAAGAATCGTAACCAGAGCTGTTTTGTTTCATTGTTCTTTTCTTGTCTTGCTTTTAATGTCGCCCCCCCGTCATTCCTATTGTTTTGTGTGGTCAGTCATCTTTTTTTCCAGGCTTATAATGGCTTTAACCTCTTTTGTGGACGTTTCTGGAAAGCTTTAACCTGTGCAGAGGGGGGAGCATAATTATAAACCACATAAGTAGCTCCCAGCTGCTGAGAGTAATGGTAAAGGGGTACTTCTCACTACAAATTTGATCAGCTTTATTTCTTCACACCCCGTCCTTGAGAAAGACGGGGAAAGGAAACAGCCAAAGGAGATTTTTATTTTTCCCAGTTGTTATGAGGTTAGAAAAATGCATCCCAGATGTGAGCATGTGAGTATCAGGACGGATAAAGCGGGAAAAGGGTGATTTTAAAATTCCATTACAGCTGAACTTTTATTTGTAATTACAGCGGCTGACCAGCAGGTGGTGCTACAGCCTTATCCATTTTATTTTTTTAAAATTGGTGATTTGAGCTGTCTGTGCATGCAGCCTGATAATCCTATTAGACTGTACCCCAACACACACGCCTGCACATGCACACCTGGATTTACCGCGTCATCGGTGGGGATGAAGCCTCTGCCCTTTAACCCTCCATGAAATTGCAGCCAATGAGGAAGGGGCAGAGGAGGGAGGGGGCATGAGCGCACATCCATCTGGCTACAAATTATGAGGGGTTTTGGTGACGCAACACTCGCTTTCTAAAACATGTGGGCATCTCTCTCGACACACATACACAGTTTATTGGTTCAGAAACCCAAAGTCTCTAAAATCCTCATCCCATCCAATCTGCTCCACATAGATGCGTATTTAACGCACAATAGGGACAAATCAAAATAATTTTTTCCAAATATCAGAGATTACGACACTCAAGGGAATTCGAGTGTGTATGTGTGTGTGGCCAGAACTTAATCTGTTGATGAGGCATCTGCTTGTGGGGACAGTAATACTTCCTACTAAATGGGGAGAGTTGGTGTGTATGCACTTCTGTTGGTGCAGTTAGTTTGACTGGAGAAAGACATCAAAAGCTAAAGTAGTGTCACTACTGTAGACGACAGTCTGATGATGACACAGAGCGGCACTATGACATCTTAATGTAAAAATGCACTCATTTTTCTTCTTTTTTTTAAATTAAGGCTTTCTATTAGCGTGGTGTTAATTATTTAATGCTGCTTGAACTTCACTAAAGCCTCAAAAATACCACTTGCATGTTTCCATTTTTTTTTTTTTTTAATGGACATAAGGTACATGTACATTTTATGTTAGCTTAAATATGCCCTTCCCACACAGTTCCTTCACTGTATTGGATAGCCAAAAATGGTGTGTGGCATTGTGATGTACAAACTGAATGGTACATTTAAGTTAAATATCAGTTTCTGTCTCTAGCAGAGCTCCCTGTTTGGCTGTATATATTTTGATTTTTGCTTTTGATTTTTTCCTCTTTACTTTTTTGTCAGTTTAACAGCAGCGGTCTTTGTTTTCTTTTCTCGTCCTCATCGAAGGGGGAAACGATGGTACTTTCTTTGTGTACCGTGTAGGTATTTAGCTGTATGTGAATTTTACTACTGACCACAAGTGCTGGTGAAAGATGGAGGTGAGAGAGGTCAAAGACGGCTGAGAAGAGAAACGTGGGTTTCATTTAAATGTTTTCTCAAAGAAAATAACTATTGGATGACGTTTTGGGAGTCCTGTCTTGTCCTCTCCTGCGTCCATCCTTCGATGAGCACTGGCTGCCTGTATTGTCTGTCTGATTGCCCCCTTCACACACATCATGTAAACTGTCATCTTTTGAAACTGAATTTTATACAACCTTTTGTCTTTTATTGTGATTCAAGTCTTTATTGATGAAAGACTGTGTCTATTCAGGCTGCTGAAAAATGAAACCCTTCATATCAAGTCCCCCATCACAGACTCAGTATGTGTGTTATTTTTTTTGGCATTTTAATATATCTGACGATTTAATGGCGCTGTTCTTTGTTCTCAAAAAGGAAATCTCTGAAACTAATAACAGTTTTGCCTTGGTTGGTTTTTCATATAGGTCAACAGTAGGATAGCCGCGACAGGCTCTGATGATTTTCTGTGCCATGCTCCACAGAGTAGACCTACATGTGCATGCTTATTTGTGTAGTGTGTTATAGATTTGAGCCTTTATTTCCAACGTTGGTCTCAGAGGTGAAACTCACCAGTCTCAAATAATTTTACTTGCCAAAAATATCAACATACTCCTCGCAGGTCGTCTGTTTTAAAGGTCAGCTTAGTCCAAGCAATTTAATTCATTACTTTTTATAGTGCCAAATCACAGTACAAGTCATCTCAGGGCACTTTACATAGTAAGATCGAAACTCTATAATATTTTAAAGGGGAAAAAAAAACAAAGAGTTAAGCACTTGGCAACAGTGGCAAGGAAAAACCCCCTTTTAACAGGAAATTACCTCTGGCTTGACTACGCCCACTGAGGCTAGCCATCTGCCTCAGCTTATTGGGGATGAGGGAGGAGCAAAGAGAGGAAAAAAGCACTGAGAAACAAAAGTCAAACACATTCCATATCCAGTTAACACTATCTAATGTCCTTGAACATCATAAAGTCATGACTATTGGGTACTCGAGGTTTTTCCATTCCTGTTTTTGAGGAGAAACGTACATCCCATTTTTCATCTCTTTATGTTTAAATGCACTTTTACCCTATTTTACGTGTATATAAAAACCTTTAGTTCCTGTGACGCCGACATCAATGCAACTACTTTCTAAGGATTTTACTTTTTGTGTAACGTATCAGCCGTTGTTTATTTTGTGTACAAGAAAAGTTTTCCTCTTTGCACTTTGAGCTTGGATTTATTTTGTACTGTTCTTTTGGGTTTTGGATGGAAAATGTCATCGCATCCTAAATGAGTTTTTAGATTTCAAAATTTTAGTGAGAAATCAAACACAAGTCATGCACCGCTTGCCAGAAGTGACATTTCTAAGCAGATCTGAGATTTCCATGTGGAACTCCAATTTAATAATGCAACTCTTTTCTCTGCTGTTCACAGGAAATGTATCTGTGTATGCAAGTGAATAAGTAGGCTACAGTATTTCAAATTCGTTTTTTCTTTTTGTGTAGAAATTCATGTTGTCAATGGCTTTACAGATGATGTACAGTGTCTTTATAGATGAGCTAAGACAAAGATTTTAAAACAGTTTACAGATGTCAGCTTAATATTAATTTATTTTAAGTATATGGGTGGGATCACCTTCTGAGGCTAGGGGGAAAAGAGGAGGAGTCCAGTCTTCTTAATATAACGATTATAGGATGTATGTATCTCCTCCTTCATGAGTGGGCCAGTCTTTGCACGAGCATCGTCACACACTGAGATTATTAACATTTTATTATAAATCCCAATTCTTTTGATTTCCGTATTTTTCATCCCCTGCAAGTGCAATGTTAAATTGTCCATGTGTGTTTATTTTAGGTGTCAACATATGTCGCCCATATGTAACTTTGAAAAATTTGTATCGTTCGTGAAATTTTATTTGATTCACCCCTAAATATGGAATGAAGAATTTGAAAAAACACCACCGGCCTGGCAACAACCACCAGTAAGGCAGTGAAATTATTATATTTTGATAGTTTGGCATGTAAAGGGTAGCAAGTGAAAAATAAATGTAAAAGTATTTGCATAGTCTATTTAAAAAAGAATAAAAATAAAAAATCAGATCCGTACAATAGTCAATCAAGAAATTATAAAAATCTGTGTTAATTTTGTAATTTTCTTAACGGTGTCTAGGTCCAACAGCTAACATTTTTCCAGTTCTTCAAGTTTGAGTAGATGCCTAAATGGGAATATATGACCCAGTATATGGCCCAGTTGAACCTTGTGTTTATAGCAGGTTCACAAATGTTGCCGATCATATAGAATTTCTATGATGAAATCCGCTGTTAGCATGCTAATATTTGCATTTAGCCCAAAGTATTGCTCTGCTGATTACAGTCTGACGTCTAGATTTGACATTTTATTTTGATCCGACTTTAAATTATATTGGTTTAATACTAAATTTGAATGCTAAAGAATTAGCATCTTTGCTAGTCAACGGGCTACTAGAGTTAATACGGTGGTCAGATTTTTTTACACAGTTGTTAAAACTCTTTTAAATTATAACTATTTCCTCAATCAGGATCTTTAATTCTTTACCGTGACACTGTTTTAGTCGAGTGCATCATTATGCTGCTTTGGCACACAGTCAGGGAAGAGAAGGCCAGTCTGTGTGCTAATGCCGTTAGCTAGTTTCCTTCCCAAAGGCATAGAGCCCCTGGGGTTTTTTTTCTTTCTTTTTTTTCGTGTCAGCTTTGAGCTGTAACCTTTTGTTTTTGTCCCACTTACCTTAAAAAAAATCCCATTCAAACAGACCTGCACACTATTGTGTTCTGACACAAACACATTAGCATAACGCTGGACACTGTTCACTTTAGCATCATGCACAAACACTGCTCAACTTTGTTCTTCGCAGACATTTGGTGTGACTCTGCTCCCTCAGGCCGGCCCTACAGCTTTTGGCTGTTCTGTCCTCCCTCCCTCTTCAATTCCTTTTGCCTCAGTGCCCCATTTCCTTGCCTCCAGTTTCACCCAGTAATGAGACCATCTTTCACTTTTGAACCAGTTTAATCAAAAACTGCAGCTGTGTTTGTACACATCAGTTAGTGACAGACAGCATGTGATATATTAGACAAGGTGTGTAGCCAGTCTTGTTCACACTGTGTATGTAGTGTATGACTGTGAGATATAAAGGGAATACTATACAATGATCTGGATGTAATGCTATATTGTTCGTTCATAACTGATATAAGACTGAGCATTGAATAATAAATGTCTAACCTCCATTGATGGGCTGTAACCTTTCCTGATTCATTTGGTTGGTTTTTGCGATGGATGGTAATTGTTCACCATCACCAACAAGTCTGCAACATCTTCCTTTCTGCTGTTGGTTAATTTGACATTAATGTAGTTTTTTCCCCCAGGATTTTGAGGCACATACAGTACCTTCCATTCATTTGTAATGAAAAGTGTCTATTATTTAACATCTTTAGTTGTGTAATGGGTTTTGAGTTAATTGAATATGACTGAGGCAGAGCATTGCCTTCACACCCTCTTGAATTCAGACTATTTACAGCAAGTAGAGGTACTGAATTGCCAAGAGAAACTTCCTCAAGTGCTGTAGTACTAAACAATAAACTGTTGTGCTTGATTTTAATATAATCTATCCATCTATTCAACAGTCTTTTTAACCACCTATCCAACCAGGATCACAGTGTGGCTGGAACTTAGCCTTGCTAACATTAGAAGGTAAGGCAACGTAACCTGGAAAGGATGACACTCCATCACGGGTCCAACAGTTTTCACTTTACTAATACACTAATATGTTTTTGTTCATTGTGGATTAAAATATTCTGCCAGTCTAACTGCTATAGTGCAGGTACACTTTGTAAATCTGTGGGTATCCTTTGGTGTCTTTTGGATCCAGTGGGTTGTAAGGTGGGCCGCTGTACATGGGCTTTGTTGCTGATATTCGAGCCACTTTCTCAAGTCTTTTCTGATCAGTTTTGAACTCTGGCAGGGTGCATTGACCTGCTGAGAGAGATCGCTGCTGCTGCTGCTGCTGCTGAGGAGTGCTGTTGCCTCCCCAAGTTGGTACTTAGTCTACAGCAGTGTTTATTAGGGTAGGAAATGTCAAAGCAACGATGGCAATGATCTGATAAGAACAGACAACAGAGGAACAGCTGTTGTTCAGTCTGTACTTGGGTTTGAGTGAATCCATAAGACACTACACGAAGTGAAAGAACACTAAACTTGGTGAATTTACTGTATTTGCCTCTGAATAGTAGAAAAGTCAAAGTATAGAATACTGTAAATTGGAAATACCCAAGAATGGTATCATCTAATTAGGTGAATCTAAACAGGAAAAGAATGATTGAAACGGACAACGTCATTTCCTTAATCTTCATCATAATCGGTGCCGTTCCGCAGCTGTGCCTCACCTCTGACCTCTCTTTAGGAAACAATCTGCCCAAGGACATCAATAACAATATTAACATCATAAAGACATGATCAGAGCAGACAGGAGCAAGAGTCTATCCTAAAGTCACCGAGTGCTTGAATGAAAAGTAAAAACGCATCTCATGTGGGGGAGGTGGCCTGTCTTGCTTTAGAAATAGCTCAAGATTAATGCGACTAACCTTGTGGTCTTGAAGTAACAAAAATGTCAGTCATTACTCTCTCTGAGCCTGCCTGGTTCACTCAGTATAATGCACACATGTTATTGCCCTGATGCATTATTAAGAGAGAGCAGCCTTCAGCTTCAGCCTCCCCTCTTAAAAGTAGTTGTTTTATATCTGATAGAGCACATGGCAACAAAGGACTGTTACAGGCACTGGGTGCTGTGCACGTGTTGTACTCTGTTGTTGTACTTTTTCTGCTGACTTGTACTGTATTTGTGTGTGTGTGTGTGTGTGTGTAACCCTTTGACTGTGTCACAGTCAAAAAATGAAAGGAACACTTTTTAATCAGAGTATAGCACCAAAGCAGTTATCCTTGTTGGATATTGATCTGGTCAGATAAGTAGCAGAGGGATTTGTTAATCAGTTTCAGCTGCTTTGGTGTGAATGAAATCAACGACAGGCTCACTAGAGGGGCAACAGCACGATGCACGTGGAGGCCACTGACATTTTTCTGTCCTCGTCTTTTCTGACTGTTTTTCTCTCGTTTTGCATTTGGCTAGGGTCAGTGTCGTTGCTGGTAGTCACTCCAGAGGTTGCACTGGTGGACATGGATGTAGAACAGGGGTGGGCAACTCCAGGCCTCGAGGGCCGGTGTCCTGCGGGTTTTAGATATTACCCTGGGTCAACACACCTGAATCACATGATTAATTCGTTACCAGGCCTCTGGAGAACTTCAGGACATGTTGAGGAGGTCATTTAACCATTTGAATCATGTGTTGGATCGAGGAAACATCTAAAACCTGCAGGACGCTGGCCCTTGAGGCCTGGAGTTGCCCATCCCTGCTCGGGAAGGTCCTTAACCCATCATCAGGAAGTCTATCTGCTCCTAAACTGCCACTGTATACCCATGGAGGGATGCACCGACTTCTACGGGCTAGGCAACAACACATTAACCCTGCAGACCCTACGCTGGTGCACGTGGTCCCGCATTCCTCATGGTGGACGACAATGCTTGACCTCATGTGGCAAGAGGACGAAGGATTCCACTGACTCGTCCCCACACTTACTTGATATGGATGGACTATATCAAGTAAGTGTGTGTGTAACCTGACCCCCCCCTCTCCCCCTTGACCCCGCCAGGTTGCACCTCAGACTATCCAGAAGCTCATTGATGTGGGAGGAGATCCCCCAAGAGACCATTATGGGGCGATCGTGGCTCAAGAGTTGGCAGTTCGTCTTGTAATCAGAAGGTTGCCGGTTCGAGCCCCCAGCTCCGACAGTCTCGGTCGTTGTGTCCTTGGGCAAGACACTTCACCCGTTGCCTACTGGTGGTGGTCAGAGGGCCCGGTGGCGCCAGTGTCCGGCAGCCTCGCCTCTGTCAGTGCGCCCCAGGGTGGCTGTGGCTACAATGTAGCTTGCCATCACCAGTGTGTGAATGGGTGGATGACTGAATGTAGTGTGAAGCACTTTGGGGTCCATAGGGACTAAGTAAAGCGCTATACAAATACAGGCCATTTACCATTATGGACATTGTCACCCATGTATACAACCACACGGGGGCCATACAAATTACTGAGTACCATGTTGAGCTGCTGCAATGAAATTTCAGCAAAATGGTCAAGGCTGCAGCATCATTCTTTTGGGGTGTCTTTGAACTCAGCCGTCTGTAGTTGATACTTTTCATTTACAAACAATGTGGCATCCTTTTATTCCTAACCCATGACTCCGTCCATATCAGTACAGCTATCCAGTGGGATTTTTATTTTATCCCACTGAGATCTGATGTGTTTTCAAAGTGTTCCTTTAATTTTTTTTCCAGCAGACATAGTTTCTCAGTCCATCCACTGTTTGGCACTAAAAAAATTTGCTCTGTGTATTTATCTTACTGGCTGACTACTGGAAGCCTGCCGAGGGGCAGCA